GAAACCTATGCTGTGTCAAATATTTAATCACAATCCAAATTCAGAGCTGTATCAAGCTTGAATGTTGTGTCCATACTTGCCCCAACTGTTCAGGGTTCGACCTCTGCGGTCGTATCAAGCTGCGCCCTGCGGAGCATTTTATTATAGGATATCAAGAAATATAAATCAAATTCTGTTCTATTGTTTTAATTCATTAAAATGTTCATTGAATCAACTTAAAATGCATAAAGGTTAATATTAAGAATTTTTTTTTGGACAAGTTGCAATTCTATTCGGACAAGTAAGTTTTGGTATGTACTTGTCCTATTGGGCAAGTTGAAAAAAAAAGTTATTGTAGAGGCCTGGCTAAATCTAAATACGAAAATTAATTCAATGCCAAAGATTGACTGAAGATTAAATGTTGATTTATTATGACTGTATTAATTATTACAAGTTCAATGCCAGTGTTGTGTTACGTAAGAGTCTACCTGTACAGGTATATTAAGAAGTACATGTAGTTTGTTAAGATTACATTGTAATCAAGTAAGTAAATATTTATCTTAAGGATGTACACCTCTGAGGAGCCAAAAATTTCTAGAATTAAACTTTTATTCTTAACCTGATATTTGGGTATATATGACTGTAAAAAAAATAATTGGTGAAGAAAAAATCATATGGTGGTGCACTTCTTTTTTTTCTACGGCCCTTTGAAAGTACCCAATTTTGATGATTTTCCCATTTTCATCAGTTTTTGCCCATTTTTGGGCAATTTTCTTGAAAAAAATCACAGTTCTACAATTAAACTTTTTTTCGTACTTTCAATAAAGATGAAGCATGTGATGTGGGCCAATCTGAATAAATTCAACTTAAAAAAAATATAGGTTGGTGTTAATATAAGAAAGTTTTATCATATTTTGATGCTTTTTCGTGTCAAATTTACCATGCTGTCAATTTTGTATATTTATGATTTTTCTTTGTTTTAAGAACAAAATGCATATTATTTCAACTTCTTTGTTATTAATGATTGAAAAAATACGTATCTTAGAAATTTGAAAAGAAAAAAGTGATATGGGATGTACATGTTTCTGGTAAAATCATTTCTTGTACCTCTCACCCATTTTCTCAAAAAATTGGCTAAAAAGACTGACTTGATTGGTAATAAAATTTGAAAAATTTATTACTCAAAAACTACTTATTGTAAATACACAATTTTTTCACAGAGTTTAGTTTGATTATGAAATTTTTAAATTCATTGCTATCTTCCACTTGTATCACATGTTTTGGAATTAATTCCAGAACAAGATTTCAACGAGACTGAAACGTCAGAAGAATTATACATTCTTAATGTATCATTTATTTATTTAATTAATTGATTGATGTTTGCTTTATGCCGCCTCAGCACTAAAAGTTTATATTGCATAAATTATTCCTTTAAAAGATATTGTTTTATTAGTTACTTTGAAGTATTTGGGGTTTTCTTTTTTTTTTTTAGCTCACCTGGTCTAAATATAAATATTAAAAAAATAATTTGAATATGTATGATGACCGTTTCTTTTTTTTGCTATCTTTATAAACCTAAGGCCACTAGTGCTTTTAGGGTTTTTATCATGCAGTGAATACAAAATTTGAAAAAATTCTCAAAAATTCATTTTCACCTGTATGTAAAATTATTTCATATTTTTCTACATCTGATTCATCTCTCAGTTTGGGAAAGTATGTTCAGTAGATACTGTATTTTTTGTCTAATCACACCGATAAGATACATTGACTTAAGTAGAGTACACAAAAGAGCAAAATCAAATAAGTCAACATGACAATTTTTGACAGATTTTTATCACGTTGGGGCCTTTTATAGCTGACTTTACAGTTTGGGATTATGAGTTTTTCTCATGGTTGAAGGCTACACAGTGACCTATGATTGCCTTTATCTTCATCATTTGAACTCTTGTGGATAGTTGTCTTATTGGCTATCATCCCACATTTCCATATTTTAGTATATGATTATTTTAAAACTTTATATTTTGCTGAAACTAGAGTAAACATTGACTAAATATAAAAAATAAAGCTCAATATGATTCAACTTAAAACAGAATAAAGTTTACAGTACGTCTCTTCATTGGAAGGAAACAACATCATGAACATGACTTTATGTGTTGTGTCTGTCCCACTGCCCTGGGTGACCTTACATAAATTGTTTAAGATTAGATTCCCAAGATCATGAACTCTTCTGAAAGGAGATAATATTTGAGATATTTATTAAGGTAAGATTAAATGTATAAACAATGCGTTCAAAGTAATTTTTTCCATTAAAGGGTATAAAAGTAGTGTTTGTAGCACTAATGCATAGTCTAAATTGATTGTTTACATTTGGTTTCACCTTTTACTATGACTGCATGGAATCAATTTGAGCATTGTCGAAAGACAAAATTAAGAATTAGTGCGGCTTAAATTTCTATTCAAAAATATGGTGGTATAAATATCCTTTCTGCTAGAAATGAAAAAGCAAACTATTTAGCCAAAATATGAGGTCAGGGGTAAAAAAATTGTGAGGCCAGAGACCTTAGGCTTCTATAACTGTGTTAGAACCAGTAATGGTTTGAAGGACCTTTCAAAATATTATGGGGGCCTTAGTGGCTTACTGGTATAAGTAATTCATCTACAGTGGCAGTGGTCACTAGCCTGACAACACTGAGGTAGTGAGTTTGAACCTGGTTTGTGGTAGATGTGTTCCACCCTGATCTTGTTTTGACAAGGAATACCATTTTTCCTACTGAAGGTTGTGGTTCTCTCTGGGTATCTGGTGGTCAATGATATAGCCTGACAAGTGCTGAAAGTTGTGGTTCTCTCTGGGTATCTGGTTGGCGATGATATAGCCTGACAAGTACTGAAGGTTGTGGTTCTCTCTGGGTATCTGGTTGGCGATGATATAGCCTGACAAGTACTGAAGGTTGTGGTTCTCTCTGGGTATCTGGTTGGCGATGATATAGCCTGACAAGTACTGAAGGTTGTGGTTCTCTCTGGGTATCTGGTTGTTGATGATATAGCCTGACAAGTACTGAAGGTTGTGTTTAATGTCAGAGTAACAGTCAATCAAAATATTATGCTTGCTTGCTTACAAACATGGAAAAACAAATCTTTTTCAAAAGCCTTATTACTAGGTTAAACAAATCTCTTCATTAGAGCACATTCTAGGCTTCAAAGTCAGCAAATTTTGGATATATTGTCAAAAAACGACATGAAAGCTTTAGGAAACCCTATGATCTACAATGTTCTGTAGCCAAAAGTTGCAAATGATGATATAAGAGTTATGGTCCTCGGACTTATAAAATTCATGCAAATATTAAGTTTTCCAAATTTTTTTTTGTCATGCTTGAAGATATTGATTTGATATTGGTTATATAGTTTAACCCCATGACAAGTTATGGATCAAGTTAGTTGTTCCAGTACAATGAATTTTTCACTAGTTGGGGACTATGTATTGCCATGCAATACTCTCAAAATGCTTGTTAAAAATACAATTTATTAATTTATTACTTTTACAAAGGAGAAACATTTATCTCATATGAATTTATAACTTTTTATAGGAAGAATATATAAAAATATATAAACAAGAAAATATAGTGTTCGTAATATTACGTAATTGGTTTCCTGTAGATAGATAGTTTATGTGAATCAGATCAGTCATGTGCAATACAACATCAGATAACCTTGAATAGCTCAAAGGACCAGCCAGTCTGAACTATTGCCATCACTATAGTGGCCTTTGTCATCCATAAAAGAATTTAATAATCTTCCACTTTGAAATCATTACCTTTGTTGGATCCAAACTTTGCCCACCTTGTGATAGGGGGTTTAATGACCCTATTGTCAAACCGGCAAGGCCCTTATTGCTAAAAATAGCACCAAGGGATTTCAATATTAGGTTTTATTGTCCCCCACACAACCCGTTGCGGGGGACATAGAAATAAAAGGCCTTGAATATAAGTGATGATAAATTATTTTTAACGAGTTATGCCCTTGGAAATATTAATTATAACGGAAATCGCATTGCATTTGCTCTGAAGCCTTCATTTCTTTAAGATATTTATAAAAAAAATTTAAAGAACAAAAAATAAGTTTTTTTTTAGTGATTACCCTTGTACCTTGGATAGATAAAATATGTGCAACGCTGGGGACATTGGAACTCTGTTGTTTTATCTAATTCTTGTTTTGGACCAATTGCTTTAAACTTTTAAAGGAAATATGATACATTTGTAAGGAATTTTTAAGAAGTATTGATAATAACCATGCCTTCTAAAGAACAGCTTTCCACTATTGACTACCACACATATATATATATGATGTTTACATAACATGCAATAATTGCATACAGAAAAGGTGGTCTATTCCTATGATAAAGCTGTGACTGTCATGCATTATTTCTTCAATAAATCGCAAAATGTTCAAAGGTTATAGAAAATTAAAATTTAACAATTAAAAATAATAAATATAAGAATGAGGAGATGTGGTATGATTGCCAATGAGACAACTATCCACCAGAGTTAAAATGAAGTGGTAGTAAGTTTATTGTATTTCATATTTTACATAATTTGGTTTACAATATTTGACAGTTTACCGATATATTTCGTAATTAAATTAAAAAATAAAGACTAAAACTTGAATTACTCAAAGATAAAATTAGGATTTCCAGACCACATTGAAAATCTAAAAAGAAATAGGAAACTGTTAAAATTACTCAATGTTAAGCTTTCTGTTAAAAAGCTCATTATATAATTTAAGTACATTATTATAACTCAATTTAAAAGAAAGTAGGATCTTATGAAAAGGCAGAAGTTTAAAAACTAGAATGTCTGCTTGTCTGAGATTAGTCACTTTTAGCTGGACAGGATAAATACATGTTTTTATAACTGTCAAAAAGTGTTTACGACAAAGTGGCTGACTTCTATGAATAAAATTCAGGAAGCAATTAGACTAAACTAATCACCTAATAAAATTTTTACATGCTGTTTTTCTATTTTCAGATTCATTTAACATTTAATGGAAAACAAGATATAGTTGGTAACCATGGATATCATTACGAACGGCAACAGCGACACACACATAAGTCAAATAGAGGCTAACCTTGAACATGAAGCAACAGAACACAGAACCAATTTATTGACTAACCTAAATACACTTCGTAGAGAGAAGCAGTTGTGTGATGCTATTCTAGTCATTGGTCGTCATGAAACTCCAATTCACAGAGCTGTTGTGGCATCTTCCAGTACTTACTTGTTGGAAATGTTCAAGAAAGATAAAAAGGAAAAGAAAGAAGGGCAAACACAGAACATGTATAAATTAAAGGACATAGACTATGAAAGTTTTCAGTATCTTTTGGATTATATCTATACTGGCAGGTAGGTATCTCTATACAGTAAATCAACACTTTAGTGAAGGAAAATGTAAAATTATCTCATTTATTAGCTCAGATGGCCTACATTTAACTCATACAAAGATCTCCTCTGAAACTACTGCGGCAAATTTAACCAAACTAACTTGGCCACCATCATCAATATGGTATGACAAACATGGCCGAAGTGGCTAAATATAGAACATAGGGATAAATTGCAATTTATATCTATTAAAAGTATCTTGAAAACCGCAGTAGATGGTCCGAGTACACAGTTATCGTCCTTTGATTTTCGTTGTCCACACATATAGTCCCTAGTGTGGACAGTGTGTTACTTGCCAATTTTTTTTATACCCCTTCCAAATTTATTTCTCCATGTTTTATGCCTCAAATAGCAAGTAGGGGGATGAAATTACACTGTAAAAAAATTTGGGTCATGAATTTTAAAGTAAAGTAGTGATTTGGTCCAGCTGAAAAAGGTTAAAAATAAGCACTTCGGAAGCTGTCAAAAGATTTCAAGACCCCCTTAACATAAAATTGTCCATATTTTGAGTTAGAGCCGATGAAGTTTTCTATAATTTTGATATAATTTGTCCCAAAAGTAGTACAACACACTGTAAAAATATTATTGAGAAAGCGCAGGTGGGATTTTTTTAATTTTCATTTATTGTCTAAAAGAAATGCACTTCGAAATAACTGTGTACTCGGACCTAAGAGGTGAAATCAGGAAATATAGAATCTGTACTTTGGCAACTTCCCTGAATGATTTGATGGTGTCAATTTGTCAAATAGCATGAAACTAAAGGATTTAAACTTTTATTTGATAGAATTTCTGCAAAAATGACCAATTTTGGCATTATATGGTCAAAATAAGCATTTCATAGCTTTTTCAATTTTAATGCATAAGTGGCATTCTGACTTTCTATCTGACAGGTTTTCATGTGTCAATATTTGTGTTTCTATGCTTTAATCCAGTTGTATTACTCATTTGTGAACTCTGAATCTACAGAAAAGAAGATTATCTCAGACAATATGTGCAAAATGTGTTGTATAAATGACCCTCGTCTAACGCCCTGTTTGGATCAAGTTAAATGTGAGGAGCTTGGTACATAAAAGTTGAAGTCCATAATAAAGACCTCACTAAATTTGTATAAAAAGCACTTAACAATGTCTTTTGTACCTGTTTCATTTCACATAGTATCTTTCTTTTCTTCTGTAGGATAGCAAGTGGTTCAAATATAAGCCTGTTGAGACTAAAATTACCTGCAAGTTTTTCACTAAAAAGTGAAAAATCTTTATATCAGACCATACTGTCTGCAAAAAAAGTTGAATGCAAGAGTCTTTTTGTGCTCAGATTTATTGTATCATGTCACCTGAGTATAGAAATGATAGAAAAGACACACATTTTTATTTCCTATAGCTTCAATATGCATTTTTATATGTAAATATGTGCTACGGGCTAAATTGACCCTAAATTATTTTCAGTCTTACTTGGCCTAAGACCCTTTTAAACTAATATGACATGTTATTTGTAAGTTTTCTTTCCATTTAAAGTACATTAATTACATATGTAAGGATTATTTATAACCAAAAAGCTTCAAAAATTTTAAATTGCTGGAAAATATTACATATTCATATTTTGAGTTAGAGCCGATGAAGTTTTCTATAATTTTGATATAATTTGTCCCAAAAGTAGTACAACACACTGTAAAAATATTATTGAGAAAGCGCAGGTGGGATTTTTTTAATTTTCATTTATTGTCTAAAAGAAATGCACTACGAAATAACTGTGTACTCGGACCAGATAGAGAAAATCTGACCGGCACAAAAATGTTCAAAATAATGAGATCTACAAAATAGAAAAAACAAAGGATATTGGGTATCCATCCATGACACAAAATCAGTACATGCACAGCAAAAAAACACACAAAAGCAAAGGAAGAGTGCTTTTATTGCTGTTCTTCATATCAAAGTCACAGTGAGGCCTTCCACACTTTAGCAAAAAATCTCTCACCTCACTGCAGGTTTAAGACAGCCCCTTGCACTGATTTGAGCAGAATTCTCTGCAAAATAATTAGGGTAGACTTTTGTAAGATATAACACCACCGAATCAGGCCCGGTCAAAAAGAACATACTAGAAAGTAGTACATATTTAAAACAAAAAAGTTCCTATGCATAGGTCAATGTAGGTGTTACAGATGTCTATTGACTGTCAGACGACTTATAGGAGTTACTGCCGTTAAAAGACAAATTTTACCATTTTTTTTTTACATTTTTGCCTATTATCTCAAAAATTATATTAGATAGACAGAAACTTTAAACAGCAAAGATGATCAGCAAGACAAGATCTACTAACAAGTCAACTTAAAAGAAATCCTTGACACATTATTTCCATTGAATTAAGATTTTCCCAATTTTTTCCATTTTTGCCTACCGGTATTATCATGATTATCATGAAAACCTTAATAGCAAAAATGATCAGCAAGACAAGATCTAAAAATAAGTCAACACAACTGAAGTTATTGGTCGATTCCTGATTGAAGTTATTGCCCTTTAATGCTATATTTTTGCCTATAATCTTGAAAGCTATAGGATAATTGAAAGGTGTGTGAAGTTTGAGATTTTCAAAAATTATTAACATTAATTTTACAGAGGCTGATAGTTATAGATTTACTAATCTAAAAATTCAAATGTTCAAGGTCTGAATGAACAACACATTAATTCATGAATGAATGTAGCGCATGAGTTAATTTTCAGTGCTTTTCGGTCACGATTTTGATATTTTTTTGATATTTGAATTGTTGGATGGATAATTCTTTTTATTACATTGAATTTATTTTAAAATGAATTATAAAATATAAAGAACTATATCTCTTTCTATGCATTCTTAATTTGTTTTGATGCACTACCATCAACCACAATTTGACAACACAATGGGTTAATGTCAGATTTATTTCATATGTAAAATTATTTGTTTTTTTTTTTCACTGGAAAATCATGCTATTTCATTGCACCCAATACAATAAATAGCATTAATTAATTTTTCTACAAAAATGATTAGAAAGCATGATTTGAAACATATTTGTGATAGTTGAATACTGAGGGCATGCAAGTACAAAATGAAGATATTTAAATGAGAGGTGCTGTTTAGGTAGAAAAATGCCTTGGTAAATAAACTATTTGTACTAATTTGCCCTTTATATTTGCAGGTCTAAAAACATTTAAAGAATGACCATTATATATGTATTGTAATAAGATCTGTTTGTATGGGTGTCCTTTTATTCTTCTGTCTAAAGACAATTGATATTTTTATCATCCCTTCCAAACCCACTTGGCAAATTTGAAACAAACATTGCAGGAAACTTTTAATTGAGGAATTGGTGATTGCAAGCAACTCTATTTGTAGTAAAAACACTATCTGTAATTTAAATTTTTATTTTATAACACCATGTGTGCTCATGCCATAACTTGGCATCCATCCTTTTTGTTGTTGTCCATCATGAACTTAAAAAAAAAATTCATTCCTCTGAAAACACTAAGTCAAATGTTTTAAAACTTGACAGTAATGATATTATAACATGTCCTTTACAAAAGCTTAAGAAGTTAGAGCAGTCTGATGAGAGAAAAATATGATTAGGTCAAGCAACCCTGCAATTTTCAGAAAAATCAAAAATCTAATTCTAGAGTTATTGCCCTTGATATTTTGCTGTTTTTGGCTGGATTATTTTGATGAATGGAAAAAAAAATTATTTACCCCATATCTCTTGTTAGCTTCTTACTTTAAGTAGTTAGTTTTACTGTTTCTTTTACCATATCATGCTAATTGCTTGTTCTGCTTTCAGGTTGGCAGTTCCTGGCCCATGTGTCAAGGCGGTCTACAAAGCAGCCGTCAAACTGAAAATAGCCGACGCTGCCAGAACCTGTTCCCAGTTTCTTGCTTCCAATCTCTCCGTAGCCAACTGTTTAGGTATTTTATATCTACCTATAAAATGTTTATAGGTAGATGTTCCCATAATCCTCTTAACTTCCTTTCTCCTTGTTTCTTTCCTTTCTGTTATTGTGGATTGTGTCCAGTGTGTTGTCACAGTGATGACGAAGAATGGTGCTTCCACTCCAGATAAAAGTTGTCTCCCCTAAGTGGGATTTCAAGAAAAGAAATTTTAAAGAAATTTCAAAAATGGTAAGATCCAAAAATAAAAACACCTTAATATTTGTAAATTATAATTCACATTATTTTGTATAAGTAAAGACAAACTCTAAATTAAATATTTACCTAACGCAGAAACTCATAAAAATCTGTGATTATTTAGAAGAAAAAATCATTTAAGCAAAAAAATTAAAAAATACGTTTTTTAATACAGAATTTCGAAATAATCTTTCTCAAGTTTTTGGTTTCAAAGAAAAAGTTATGATTTGATTTTTGAGTATTAAATTAAGCTCATAGTTATGAAGAAAAACATTTTTTGAAGCTTTGTTTTATTAACCAGAATTGGATTCCTATGTACCATAATTTTATAGTAAGTATCATGAATGTTAAGCTTAAGATTTTTATGGTATTTCATGAATTAAAGTAAAGGACATTTTTTTCATATTATAATTCAGTGATTAAAAGTAATTAAAAACCACAAATATTTTGCCCTTTTATTTAAAACAGTCTACTTTCATAGACATAAGTAAATAATTCTGTAAAAAAAAGTGAGAATTAGTGATTGGGCAGGCATACAAAATTTGAAAACATGGTTGTACCTTAAAACCTATCAGAAGCATGGAATTTCATCATATTTGTCCCAAACATAGACATGTCTGTCATATTTTTTGTTAATTTTTATTACCTTTTTGTTTTTGTTTCGATTGGTTAGTTGGTGTTGTATCAGCATTTACCACAATTTTACTTCCATAAGAAATTATCACCTTTGAAAAGAGGAGTTTTGTTTCAGTTATTTCTAGTTTGGTTAATGCTTCTCGGTCTTTTGAGCATTTTTAATGGTTAACACTTAGATTATAACTTTACAATCCTTTCTGTACAAAAATGGAGACACTCTAAGACTTATTTCTTTGTACAGTATTGTAAAATAAGCTCAAAAGACTAAGCAGGATTATTTGTCTGATCAAAGTAATAGAATTTCCTGCAATAAACATTATAGTCTATTTGTGTCTCAACTGCAAAAAATGTAAAGGTCAAATAACCTCAATATTAAACCCCATTTTCATCAATTGAACAATTTTTAAATAAGAATATTAAAAAGGAAGCACACATTGTTGAAAAAATTATCTGTTTGTGGTCTGACTTAACTTACAATTTAATGCTTAAAGTATGCATATCGCTTTTTGCAAGTCAATTTCAGTTTTCAAAGTTTTTAATGGGTTAACCAAAAAAACATTTTGGAATGTCCTACTTCTTGTATTTCCATTTGTGATGTCATTGGGTCATAAAACACGCCTTCTTAGCTTACCTGGCCACAGCGTATCTTAGCTTACCTGGCCACAGGGTATGTGAGCTGTTGCCATCACCTTGCATCTATCGTCAGTTATCTCCATTCTAATGCAACCAAAAGAAAACATACATTTTTTTTAAAATCAGACACACATCTGTTCTTGAACATGCAAATTGCAATCATCAATCGTGGAATTAATGATCTGATATTTGTTGGGTTATACAATCAAAATGAATATTTAAAAACAATGTTGCATTGGAATCATTATCTAACCTAAAGAAGAAAGTTGTCACAAATTAGCAAAAAAAAGATGATGGTGAACAAATATAAAGTTGAGCTATACATCCTCAGGTATGACGATATGTATAGGGGTTGACAGTGTTTTGTCATGATTACTTTTTCAGATGCATGAAAGCAATGATTGGAGGATTAGGTATTGTGTTGTACTGTAACTATTATATCTACATATCAGTACAGTAGACTTTATAAACCAAAAGAATTCTTGTGTGGTTTTTATGAGATAAATGTGTTGTAAACTTATTTAAAATGGCTAATAGTTTCAACAGATCATAAAAAAAATTCATGACATCTTTCATTGGTTTTGATCATGGAATCACTTTTATACACCATTTTATGAAGTCATGACCTATTAAACCTAAAAATATGTACATAACATTAAAAATATTTTCAAGTTATTAAAGTAAAAATTGAAAGTTTAACCTTATAGAACAAAGAAATAAAAAATATATTTGTAAAGGAATTGTTTGAATGATATCAAAATAAATGGGACATTGGTTAAATTAATATTATTCTATTAGTAATGTTCTATGGTATTGTGTAATCACAACATTGACAGTACAACATCCTTGGTCCATTTTACTAATGTGTTGCAGTGGACATCTTTTCTTTACTAATAGTACAATTTTTTAGTTAATTCTTGGGTTTATTTTTGAATCTGCGAACTATTTGTATTATACAAACCACATTTCTCGTTTTAAATTGATTCTCTCTTATTTGAACTTTTATTTATGACTTCAAATTTTTTTACTATTTTAAGATAATGCCATTATTTTTGGCATTACAAATTTAAAATATACGTCAATTAAAAAAAAAAAAAAACAGGGTTTAAATCACTAGAAAAAGATGTTTTTTTCAAGTAGATTAACCATGTAAATAGATTTGACATTCAATATTTCCCCACTCTGATTTAAAAATTCAGTGTATAAAATGCTTCATTTTCAAAACTTTATAAACTTTAAAATTGTGTACTATAAGTGTAACATTGATGCTTATTTGACAGTATTATATAAAAGATATATTTTAACATTGGTTATATACATTTAAAAAGGAGGAAAGTTTGCTTAGAAATTAAGGACTTTTTTCCTTTGCTTTACAACTATTATATATATGAAAAAAGCAACACACAGTTTTTTCAAATACAAGTTTTAATAGAATTGTTAGAGAAAAGCCTGATAAAATAGCGTGTATACAAGATGATAATGTATTAATTCAAAAACTATTTTCAAAAATATATATCGTAAGTGAGGGTACAAAATAAAAAAAAGTCGACAAACCACATTAAATGAAAAAAGGCAGCATATTGATACCACCACTTCTATGATATGAATGTTTCAAAACAAAAGAATATGATTAGATATCTAAATAACAGTCTGTCATTACAAAAATAAGTGTCATTTAGTTATCTAACGATACGTTTATTGACAAAGTTTTCTGGATAAAGATTTTAATTTTTTTCCTTTCTTGTTAATTGAATAGCTTCAACTATCAGAATTTTGTATTAATAATATGCAGATTTCATGTTACATGTATATTAAAACATGAAATTTATTTCTGTCAATACAATATGGTGATAGTATCATCTTCTTAACTGATTATCTATAATGTAGTTTGTTCATCTTCAGGTGTACGTAGGTTTGCTGTAGATGATGAACTGAGGAAAAAAACAGACCTATTTATCCAAAACAACATTAACAGTGTCACATGTAGCAAACTGTTTTTTGGTCTTTCAACAGTACAGGTAGAAATTATTGGTAAGTAGAAACTTTTCTGTTGGTTTTCTCTCAGGACTGGTAGAAATTATTGGTAAGTAGAAATTTTTCTGTTGGTTTTCTCTCAGGACTGGTAGAAATTATTGGTAAGTATAAACTTTTCTGTTGGTTTTCTCTCAGTACAGGTAGAAATTATTGGTAAGTATAAACTTTTCTGTTGGTTTTCTCTCAGTATCGGTAGAAATTACTGGTAAGAATAAACTTTTCCGTTGGGTTCCCCTCAGTGTAAGTAGAAACTTTTCCTTTGGTTTTCCCTCAGTGTAAGTAGAAACTTTTCCTTTGGTTCCCCCTCAGTGTAAGTAGAAACTTTTCCTTTGGGTTCCACTCAGTGTAAGTAGAAACGGTTCCGTGAGTTCCCCTCAGTGTAAGAAGAAACTTTTTCTTTGGGTTCCCCTCAGTGTAAGTAGAAACTTTTCCTTTGGTTCCCCCTCAGTGTAAGTAGAAACTTTTCCTTTGGTTTTCCCTCAGTGTAAGTAGAAACTTTTCCTTTGGGTTCCCCTCAGTGTAAGTAGAAACTTTTCCTTTGGTTTTCCCTCAGTGTAAGTAGAAACTTTACCTTTGGTTTTCCCTCAGTGTAAGTAGAAACTTTTCCTTTGGTTCCCCCTCAGTGTAAGTAGAAACTTTTCCTTTGGGTTCCCCTCAGTGTAAGTAGAAACTTTTCCTTTGGTTCTCCCTCAGTGTAAGTAGAAACTTTACCTTTGGTTTTCCCTCAGTGTAAGTAGAAACTTTACCTTTGGTTTTCCCTCAGTGTAAGTAGAAACTTTACCTTTGGGTTCCCCTCAGTGTAAGAAGAAACTTTTTCTTTGGGTTCCCCTCAGTGTAAGTAGAAACTTTTCCTTTGGTTCCCCCTCAGTGTAAGTAGAAACTTTTCCTTTGGTTTTCCCTCAGTGTAAGTAGAAACTTTACCTTTGGTTCCCCCTCAGTGTAAGTAGAAACTTTTCCTTTGGTTTTCCCTCAGTGTAAGTAGAAACTTTACCTTTGGGTTCCCCTCAGTGTAAGAAGAAACTTTTTCTTTGGGTTCCCCTCAGTGTAAGTAGAAACTTTTCCTTTGGTTCCCCCTCAGTGTAAGTAGAAACTTTTCCTTTGGTTTTCCCTCAGTGTAAGTAGAAACTTTACCTTTGGTTCCCCCTCAGTGTAAGTAGAAACTTTTCCTTTGGTTCCCCCTCAGTGTAAGTAGAAACTTTTTCTTTGGGTTCCCCTCAGTGTAAGTAGAAACTTTTCCTTTGGTTCCCCCTCAGTGTAAGTAGAAACTTTTCCTTTGGTTCCCCCTCAGTGTAAGTAGAAACTTTTCCTTTGGGTTCCCCTCAGTGTAAGTAGAAACTTTTCCTTTGGTTTTCCCTCAGTGTAAGTAGAAACTTTACCTTTGGTTCCCCCTCAGTGTAAGTAGAAACTTTTCCTTTGGTTTTCCCTCAGTGTAAGTAGAAACTTTTTCTTTGGTTTTCCCTCAGTGTAAGTAGAAACTTTACCTTTGGTTCCCCCTCAGTGTAAGTAGAAACTTTTCCTTTGGTTTTCCCTCAGTGTAAGTAGAAACTTTTCCTTTGGGTTCCCCTCAGTGTAAGTAGAAACTTTTCCTTTGGGTTCCCCTCAGTGTAAGTAGAAACTTTTCCTTTGGTTCTCCCTCAGTGTAAGTAGAAACTTTTCCTTTGGTTCTTCCTCAGTGTAAGTAGAAACTTTATCTTTGGTTCCCCCTCAGTGTAAGTAGAAACTTTTCCTTTGGTTCTCCCTCAGTGTAAGTAGAAACTTTTCCTTTGGTTCTTCCTCAGTGTAAGTAGAAACTTTATCTTTGGTTCCCCCTCAGTGTAAGTAGAAACTTTTTCTTTGGTTCCCCCTCAGTGTAAGTAGAAACTTTTCCTTTGGTTTTCCCTCAGTGTAAGTAGAAACTTTTCCTTTGGGTTCCCCTCAGTGTAAGTAGAAACTTTTCCTTTGGTTTTCCCTCAGTGTAAGTAGAAACTTTACCTTTGGTTTTCCCTCAGTGTAAGTAGAAACTTTTCCTTTGGTTCCCCCTCAGTGTAAGTAGAAACTTTTCCTTTGGGTTCCCCTCAGTGTAAGTAGAAACTTTTCCTTTGGTTCTCCCTCAGTGTAAGTAGAAACTTTACCTTTGGTTTTCCCTCAGTGTAAGTAGAAACTTTTCCTTTGGGTTCCCCTCAGTGTAAGTAGAAACTTTTCCTTTGGTTTTCCCTCAGTGTAAGTAGAAACTTTTCCTTTGGGTTCCCCTCAGTGTAAGTAGAAACTTTTCCTTTGGTTCCCCCTCAGTGTAAGTAGAAACTTTTCCTTTGGTTTTCCCTCAGTGTAAGTAGAAACTTTTCCTTTGGTTCCCCCTCAGTGTAAGTAGAAACTTTTCCTTTGGGTTCCCCTCAGTGTAAGTAGAAACTTTTCCTTTGGTTCTCCCTCAGTGTAAGTAGAAACTTTTCCTTTGGTTCTTCCTCAGTGTAAGTAGAAACTTTATCTTTGGTTCCCCCTCAGTGTAAGTAGAAACTTTTCCTTTGGTTCTCCCTCAGTGTAAGTAGAAACTTTTCCTTTGGTTCTTCCTCAGTGTAAGTAGAAACTTTATCTTTGGTTCCCCCTCAGTGTAAGTAGAAACTTTTTCTTTGGGCTCCCCTCAGTGTAAGTAGAAACTTTTCCTTTGGTTTTCCCTCAGTGTAAGTAGAAACTTTTCCTTTGCTTTTCCCTCAGTGTAAGTAGAAACTTCATCTTTGGTTCTCCCTCAGTGTAAGTAGAAACTTTTCCTTTGGGTTCCCCTCAGTGTAAGTAGAAACTTTTCCTTTGGTTCCCCTCAGTGTAAGTAGAAACTTTTCCTTTGGGTTCCCCTCAGTGTAAGTAGAAACTTTATCTTTGGTTCCCCCTCAGTGTAAGTAGAAACTTTATCTTTGGTTCCCCCTCTGTGTAAGTAGAAACTTTATCTTTGGTTCCCCCTCTGTGTAAGTAGAAACTTTTCCTTTGGGTTCTGCTCAGTGTAAGTAGAAACTTCATCTTTGGTTCTCCCTCAGTGTAAGTGGAAACATTTCCTTTGGTTTTCCCGCAGTGAAAGTAAAGCTTTTCCTTTGGTTTGCCTTCAATACAGGTAGAAATCATAAGTTAAAAGTTTATATGCTGAAACGGTACAAATAATTTACCTTATGTAAAGAAATTATGATAGGTTAAACTTTTCTCTGGTTGACCAAAAGTACAGTCTGCTATTGCTGATATCAGCCCTAATATTAGAAAACATGTCCAATAAATACTTTTCCTTTACTTGCCATATCAGCAATGCAAACCCAAAAATATGATGAGAAAATATGCTACTTTCAAGAATATTTAGATTAAAACGATAATCGGTAATCTTTTTTGTGTTTTTGGGGTTCATGCAATCAAAACCCCACTGGGACTGACTAGATAGTGATATTTTCTAGACCTCATTACTACCATTTGAGAGCACAAAAACATAGTGCATTGAGGTGAACATTGAAAGGCCCTGACATAGAAAATTTGAAGCAATTCAAACGAGAATACAAACCACCTAATTCATAATACAATTTATGAAAAACAAATATGACAGACATGAACCAAAGACAACCACTGAACTACAGGCTCTTGACTTGGGACAGGCTTCCATGTATATGTCATGCAATTTATCAATGAAATGAAATAAATACCGAAATATTCAAGTTCTCCAATTCAAAATATTGCCTTCAATTACTTAAAAAATGCAATGGATAAAAGGAATGCAAATTTTACCCTCCAGTGCTCACAAACATTTAAATTCATTTATTTCATCTTTCTGAATGCCAAAATTTTTAATTTTAATTGACAGCTTGTATAACTTTGACTGAACCCTTAGATTTAATGACTATTACAGGTGCAGATGAAGAATTAATAGAACCCAGTAACAGTCATCACATGGCAGAGTTAGTACTTAGCTGGGCCAGAGATAGTATAGATACAGAAAAACCAAGACTAGATAACCTAACTGAACAGGTAAGAATTGATAGAACCCAGTAACAGTCATCACACGGCAGAGTTAGTACTAAGTTGGGCCAGAGATAGTATAGATACAGAAAAACCAAGACTAGATAACCTAACTGAACAGGTAAGAATTAATAGAACCCAGTAACAGTCATCACATGGCAGAGTTAGTACTTAGTTGGGCAAGAGATAGTATAGATACAGAAAAACCCAGACTAGATAACGTACATCAACGTAAGAATTAATAGAACCCAGTAACAGTCATCACATGGCAGAGTTAGTACTTAGTTGGGCAAGAGTTATGGGGTTTTATTCATTAAAAAAGGGAGGATTTTCCAGTTTTCGGACAATAACTCAAAAATGCTTTCACCAATTTGCAAGAAACTTTGGTTGATTGTTTATATCTATTGACATGAGCTTCCTTTTGATTTTTATAAATTTTAAGTTTTATGTTTCTGAGTTATGGAGTTTTATTCATTAAAAAAAAGAGGGATTTTCCAGTTTTCGGACAATAACTCAAAAATGCTTTCAGCTGAGTTCTCATGAAACTTTGGAGAATTGTTTATATCTATTGATGTAAGCTCCCTTTCAATTTTTATAAATTTTAGATTTTACACTTCCGAGTTGTGGGATTTTATTCATAAAAAAGGGGTGATTTTCTAGTTTTCGGACAATACCTTTAAAGTGCTTTGAGCAGTTATCATTTAACTTTGGTGACTGGTTTATATCAATTAAGATAAACTCCCTTTAGTTTTTCACAAATTTCTGATATGACATTTAGAAGTTATTGAACTTTATTGGTAAAAAATGCAACGGGCGTATCATTCGCTCATAGTGCAGCTGTTTATTGCCTTTTCTGCAACAAAAGTCACTGAACATGAGAAAGGTACAGTGGAGTCATTATCGTGGATCCCAATTTTCATGGGATTAGGTAAAAATTGTACTTGTGGGAATATTTGATATCATGTTGGTTTTGCCAAAGTCTGCATACAAGCCTATAGAAAATATCTACTTAGTTGTACATTTAAATTTGTGGTTCACCTTTACCAACGAAATCTACAAATATTGGTATCCAACGAATAAAAATGAATCTTCAGTATACTTATCTGGTTGTAATGACATTGCTAACTTTTTATGCCCCCGCCGTAGTTGTGGGGGCATTAAGTTTTACCCTTGACCGTCTGTACGTACGTCCGTATGTCCCAAAATTGGTTTCCTTTCTCTAACTTGAGTTTGCCTCAACCAAATGTTATGAAACTTATACTCAATGCTTATTACTACATCATACAGAGTAAGTACGAAATTTGGTGGCGACACTTTTACCATTCTTGAGTTATGTATGTCCCTTTATAAACATAAAGATTGCTGAATTTTTCATTTGCGTTCTCTAACTTTAGTTTGTCTCAACCAAATGTTATAAAACTTGTACACAACCGTTCTAGAGTTATGCGTGTTTACAAATAGAAAAATTGCTGAATTTTTATACGACCGCAAAAATTGAAAATTTTTTGGTCGTATATTGGTATGACGTTGGCGTCGTCGTCGTCGTCGTCGTCGTCGTCGTCGTCGTCGTTGTCGTCGTCGTCGTCGTCCGGCGTCGTCTGGCATCGTCCGAAGACACATTGGCTTTCGCACTCTAACTTTAGTTTAAGTGAATGGATCTCCATGAAATTTTACCATAAGGTTCAATACCATGAAAGGAAGGTTGGGATTGATTTTGGGGGTTATGGTACCAACAGTTAAGGAATTAGGGGCCAAAAAGGGGCCAACAATAAGCATTTTTGTAACTTCCAGACAATAACTTGTGTGTAAGTGTATGGATCTCTCTGACATTGTACCACAAGGTTCCATATCACAAAGGGAAGGCTGTAATTGATTTTGGGGGTAATTGCCTCAAAATGTTAGGAATTAGGGGCCAAAAAAGGGGCAAAAAACAAGCATTTTTCTAGTTTCATGACAATAACTTGTGTGTAAGTGTTTGGATATTTCTGAAATTGTACTACAAGGTTCCATATCACAAAGGGAAAGCTGGAATTGAGTTTGGGGGTAATTGCCCGAAACGTTTAGGAATTGGGGGCCAAAAAGGGGCCAAAAATAAGCATTTTTCTAGTTTCCAGACAATAACTTGTGTTCAAGTGTATGGATCAAGGCTTCCAAAACGGTCATATATTCCGGACATTTGTATAATGTCCGGTAAAAGTCCGGCTGGGAAAAGCATGAAACGGTCATCTACTTTTTAGTTTTCAAGGCTTTCTTACGAGACGGTCATTTTAACATAATTCGCGATCTTTTTGACCCAACCTTTTGCCTTTAACAGCCACACATTTCCGGTCATAAAAGTGACATGATCATTAAGTACTATCAAAATAACCCCTACTTTAATACCTTCTCATTTTAATCAAGGCTAATTAGTTGTCGGACAGCTGAAATTTACCTGTTCAGGTGACAGGTAAACTATTTTGAACCGGACATTGATCGGTCTATTCAAAGTTATTTTCTTACATTTCAGTGCTTTGCATCTAATCAATTTAGTCAAAAAGATTTAAATGATCAGAAATGCGTTTACAAATATGATTTGATGAAAAAATTAAAAAGGTGAAAATGAAAAATCGTCATAACCACATTGTTTGAACCGAAGATCTTTGAACTAATACATGTGTGCGCATGTGCGCAGGTGTGAAATTTAATTATGCATCCTAATTTCTTAAAAAAAATGCTTAAATTGACATTGATACCTTTATCTCACGTTTATTTCGAATATTTTCTTGAAGAAATAACGTAGAAAGAGCTACTTGCACTCATTCATGCTTTGCAAACGTACACGGAATTTACGTATCCGTCACTGGTAGATGTTTTACCATTGTCAAGATAACATCCGGTTAGATTTAAAAACGAAAGTAAAGTTTTTTGACAACGTTATTTTGAACAAATAAAGAGTCTAAGGCAGATATAAGTACGCTGATGTTGCACACTTCGAATGATGCACTGCCAATTTAACAGTTTACGTCAGAACTTCGAATTTGAATCAAAGAAAGTTTAATATCATTTTTTTTTAATGTCAATCATTGGGATGGCCAACTCGGCAACTGATTACCATAATTGCCTTTTGTTTATTTAGTCTTAAGGGATTAAAAACGGGATAATATATAAAATGTCCGGCTGGCTAAAAATAATTTTGGAAGCCCTGGTATGGATCTCTCTGAAATTGTACTGCAAGGTACCATACCACAAAGGGAAGGCTGAGATTGAGTTTGGGGGTGATGAATCATAAGGGGGTTCAAAAAATTTTGGGGGGGGGGGATTTTTTTTTTTTTCTTTTTTTCCTTTTTTTTTTTCTTTTAAAATTTTCCATTTTAAGTTGGTTATTTCTGATTTATATTTAAAAGCAAATAATAATGATATGGTAGGAGATACACACCAAACAGGATGTGTAAATTATTATATAATAAGTATTGTGCAATAGCAAGAAATTTTCAATTGCACAGTATTGCACAATAGCAAGAAATCTTCAATTGCACAGTATTGCGCAATAGCAAGAAATCTTCAATTGCACAGTATTGCGCAATAGCAAGAAATATCCAATAGCACAATATTGCGCAATAGCAAGAAATTGTCAATTGTACAGTATTGCGCAATAGCAAGAAATAATCAATTGCACAGTATTGTGCAAAAGAAGATACTTCGTATAAATTGCTTATTTCTTGATCAATTTCAATGGGGTTTTATTCTTGAATTCTTGGGGTTCTTTAATATGCTGAATCTAACCGTGTATTAAGTTTTTAGATTTTGGGCCCCGTTTTTAAATTGGTCCACATTGAGGTCCAAAGGGTCCAAAATTTTACTTTGTTTGATTTCATCAAAAATTGAATTATTGGGGTTCTTTGATATGCCGAATCTAACCGTGTATTTAGATTCTTAATTTTTGGTTCTGTTTTCAAATTGGTCTACATAAAGGTCCAAAGGGTCCAAAATTAAACTTAGTTTGATTTCAACAAAAATTGAATATATGGGGTTTTTTGATATGCTGAATCTAACCATGTATTTAGATTTTTGATTATGGGCCCAGTTTTCAAGTTGGTCCAAATCGGGGTCCAAAATTAAACTTTGTTTGATTTCAACAAAAATTGAATATATGGGGTTCTTTGATATGCTGAATCTAACCATGTATTTAGATTTTTGATTATGGGCCCAGTTTTCAAGTTGGTCCAAATCGGGGTCCAAAATTAAACTTTGTTTGATTTCAACAAAAATTGAATATATGGGGTTCTTTGATATGCTGAATCTAACCATGTATTTAGATTTTTGATTGTTGGGCCCCGTTATCAACTTTGTCCACATTGAGATCAAAAGGGTCCAAAATTAAACTTTGTTTGATTTCATCAAAAATTGAATATATGGGGTTCTTTGATATGCTGAATCTAACCATGTATTTAGATTTTTGATTATGGGCCCAGTTTTCGAGTTGGTCCAAATTGGGGTCCAAAATTAAACTTTGTTTGATTTCAACAAAAATTGAATATATGGGGTTCTTTGATATGCTGAATCTAACCATGTATTTAGATTTTTGATTATGGGCCCAGTTTTCAAGTTGGTCCAAATCGGGGTCCAAAATTAAACTTTGTTTGATTTCAACAAAAATTGAATATATGGGGTTCTTTGATATGCTGAATCTAACCATGTATTTAGATTTTTGATTGTTGGGCCCCGTTATCAACTTTGTCCACATTGAGATCAAAAGGGTCCAAAATTAAACTTTGTTTGATTTCATCAAAAATTGAATATATGGGGTTCTTTGATATGCTGAATCTAACCATGTATTTAGATTTTTGATTATGGGCCCAGTTTTCAAGTTGGTCCAAATCGGGGTCCAAAATTAAACTTTGTTTGATTTCAACAAAAATTGAATATATGGGGTTCTTTGATATGCTGAATCTAACCATGTATTTAGATTTTTGATTATGGGCCCAGTTTTCAAGTTGGTCCAAATCGGGGTCCAAAATTAAACTTTGTTTGATTTCAACAAAAATGGAATATATGGGGTTCTCTAATATGCTGAATCTAACCGTGTATTAAGTTTTTGGATTTTGGGCCCCGTTTTTAAATTGGTCCACATTGAAGTCCAAAGGGTCCAAAATTTAACTTTGTTTGATTTCATCAAAAATTGAATTATTGGGGTTCTTTGATATGCCGAATCTAACTGTGTATTTAGATTCTTAATTTTTGGTTCCGTTTTCAAATTGGTCTACATAAAGGTCCAAAGGGTCCAAAATTAAACTTAGTTTGATTTTAACAAAAATTGAATTTTTTAGGGTTCTTTGATATGCTGAATCTAAACATGTATTTAGATTTTTGATTATGGGCCCAGTTTTCAAGTTGGTCCAAATCGGGGTCCAAAATTAAACTTTGTTTGATTTCAACAAAAATTGAATATATGGGGTTCTTTGATATGCTGAATCTAACCATGTATTTAGATTTTTGATTTTTGGGCCCTGTTATCATTTTTGTCCACATTGAGATCAAAAGGGTCCAAAATTAAACTTTGTTTGATTTCATCAAAAATTGAATTCTTGGGGTTCTTTGATATGCTGAATCTAACCATGTATTTAGATTTTGGATATTGGACCATAATAGGTGAATGTCCAATTTAAAATTTTTAAGTTCTTAGACCACATTCATTCTGTGTCAGAAACCTATGCTGTGTCAAATATTTAATCACAATCCAAATTCAGAGCTGTATCAAGCTTGAATGTTGTGTCCATACTTGCCCCAACTGTTCAGGGTTCGACCTCTGCGGTCGTATCAAGCTGCGCCCTGCGGAGCATTTTATTAGTTTCTGTTCTCTACTTAAGTTAGCCTCAACCAAATGTTATGAGACTTACACACAATGCTTATTACCACAAAACTCAGATCAAGTTCAAATTTGGGTAGCGTCACTTTTACCGTTCTTCAGTTATGTCCCTTTATAACTATGTGATATGCAAGCGGGGGCTTTATCTGTGTCCACATGTGGACACTATCCTTATTTATTTGTATACAGTTTATACGGATGATAGTAGAGCTATAAAGCATTCCACATATTGTATAGAGATGGCTTACGGTGTAGAGTTTCCATTTCACATATATGTCAGCTGTCCTTGGCCTCATTTACATGGTTTAATGACATACCAAATCAGTATTAATTTTCTTGATTAAATCATTTAATCAATTACATTTGAGTTATAGGTCAGCTATGTGTGATCTGTAAAAATCAACAAAATTTCATAATATTTCAATGCAATGAGTCTGTTTAGTTTTCGTGTTACATGGATTATTTCATCAAAAAATGAATCTGATGATAGGATGTCCAAACTGTAAAGAAGAAAAGGCAGATGAAATCTCACAACACAAAAGCAAGGATTTGACCAAGAGAAACGTAAATGTTTTGCAAATGAATTGTAAGGGGTTGGATTTTTACAAAACATCTGGCCTAATGTCTAGCAAATATTGTGCATTGTTCCCAAATCAGAGTGATAAGGAAAGTCCTCTAGTTAATTTCTTTTTTTTTTTATTCACAAAAGTTACATTTTGTGCTGAAGAACTGAAGTATAAGAATTCATAAACATAAAACATTATGCATCATAGAAAAAAGTAAAATAACAAAAATACTGAACTCCAAGGGAAATTCAAAACGGAAAGTCCTTTATAAAATGGCAAAATCAAAAGCTCAAAAACATCTAACGAATGGAAAACAACTGTCATATTCCTGACTTGGTACAGGCATTTCCTTATGATGAAAATGGTGAATTAAACCTGGTTTAATACAGATAACACAGGTAAAAAAAATTAATGAAAATAAAATTATGAAAAAAGTTGCTTGCATATATCTAGTTGCGAAAAACAAAACAAATTAAGACAAGTGGATGAAATATGTCTAGCTTGCTTGTTTTTTTTTTTTTTTTTTTTTTTTTAAACCCTGGTGTATAGAAGGAGTGAGATAACAGTAACAATTATTGTCTAATTTATATCACCTTTTTATAGGTTAATATATTATATTTGAACAAAGACAACACTCTGACAGACTTTAAGGACATTAATGATGAAAGGACAAAAGAAGAAGATGATGTTCGTGAATATAAATGTATTGTGAAAAGACATGTAAGTTTGAGTATTTTTTCCAAAAAAGAAACCAATTATTTTCAGTGTTAAAAAGTAAACAACAAATGTAAAAAATAAAAGGTATTTGGTATTCATGTCTATCTTTTTTTCTGCATGGTGATTATGTGTTTATAGTACAGTCGACTCCACTTAATTGCATACCGCTTAATAGCATAATTCGGTTAATTGAATAGTTTTCTCCTGCACAAAACCATTTCCCATTCATCTAATGTTAAATTGTCCGGTTATATTCATAGCTCTACAAGTGGCCTTTCGGTTTATTGCATAGAAAATAATCGCCTTCTAGATATGCTTAGTTAAAGCTGACGAGATTTTTGACTGGAAACGGCAATTTGGTGAGCATATTTTTCTTGAATGCATTATTATTTTTGTTATTATTTCATATTTACTTTTGTGTTATTTAAATAAAGTTTTAAAACAGTTTCTTTCGTGTTTTTATGATGGAATTTGATTTAAAAATAAACGTCGATGTCTACACAGGTAAAGTTTCCCATGTTGTATTTTAAGCCTCGAGGTCATAAAAATGTCAAACAGGTAATTGTTGTTAAAACACTGACCATTCTATCTCAAAAGGTGTTAATAATTGATTGGATTTCAAACATTTTTCAAAGATTACATTTGGGGTGAATTTTAAAAACAATAACGCCTGCTAATTATCGATCATCCAATGTGAACTCTCGTAATTGGGCTTGGGGTGATCTGCATTTATGTTAAATATTACAGGGTATTTATATATGGTTAAAGAATGTTATACATCAATCATTTATTATACGACCGCAAAAATTAAAAAATTTTTGGTCGTATATTGGTTTGACGTTGGCGTCGTCCGGCGTCGTCCGAAGACACATTGGTTTTCGCACTCTAACTTTAGTTAAAGTGAATGGATCTCCATGAAATTTTACCATAAGGTTCAATACCACGAAAGGAAAGTTGGGATTGATTTTGGGTGTTATGGTACCAACAGTAAAGGAATTAGGGGCCAAAAATAAGCATTTTTGTAACTTTCAGACAATAACTTGTGTGTAAGTGTATGGATCTCTCTGACATTGTACCACAAGGTTCCATATCACAAATGGAAGGCTGTAATTGATTTTGGGGGTAATTGCCTCAAAATTTTAGGAATTAGGGGCCAAAAAAGGGGCAAAAAACAAGCATTTTTCTAGGTTCATGACAATAACTTGTGTGTAAGTGTTTGGATATTTCTGAAATTGTACTACAAGGTTTCATATCACAAAGGGAAAGCTGGAATTGAGTTCGGGGGTAATTGCCTGAAACGTTTAGGAATTGGGGGCCAAAAAGGGGCCAAAAATAACCTTTTTTCTAGTTTCAAGACAATAACTTGAGTTCAAGTGTATGGATCTCTCTGAAATTGTACTGCAAGGTACCATACCACGAAGGGAAGGCTGGGATTGAGTTTGGGGGTGATGAATCATAAGTGGGTTCAAAAAATTTGGGGGGGGGGGGATTTTTTTTTTTTCTTTTTTTTTCTTTTTTTCCTTTTTTTTTCTTTTAAAATTATCCAGTTTAAGTTGGTTATTTCTGATTTATATTTAAAAGCAAATAATAATGATATGGTAGGAGATACACACCAAACAGGATGTGTAAATTTTTATATAATAAGTATTGTGCAATTCCACAGTATTGCACAATAGCAAGAAATCTTCAATTGCACAGTATTGCGCAATAGCAAGAAATCTTCAATTGCACAGTATTGCGCAATAGCAAGAAATATCCAATAGCACAATATTGCGCAATAGCAAGAAATTGTCAATTGTACTGTATTGCCCAATAGCAAGAAATATTCAATTGCACAGTATTGTGCAAAAGAAGATACTTCTTATAAATTGCTTATTTCTTGATCAATTTCAATGGGGTTTTATTCTTGAATTCTTGGGGTTCTTTAATATGCTGAATATAACCGTGTATTAAGTTTTTATACGACCGCAAAAAAATTTTGAGGTCGTATATTGGTATGACGTTGGCATCGTCGTCGTCGTCGTCGTCGTCGTCGTCCGGCGTCGTCGTCCGAATACACAATGGTTTTCGCACTCTAACTTTAGTTTAAGTGAATGGATCTCTATGAAATTTTACCATAAGGTTCAATACCACAATAGGAAGGTGGGGATTGATTTTGGGGGTTATGGTACCAACAGTTAAGGAATTAGGGGCCAAAAAGGGGCCAAAAATAAGCATTTTTGTAACTTCCAGACATAACTTGTGTGTTAGCATATGGATCTCTTTGACATTGTACCACAAGATTCCATATCACAAAGGGTCAATGCTGGGATTGATTTTGGGGTTAATTGCCTCAAAATTTTAGGAATAAGGGGCCAAAAGGGGGCAAAAAACAAGCATTTTTCTAGTTTCATGACAATAACTTGTGTGTAAGTGTATGGATCTTTCTGAAATTTTACTACAAGGTTCCATTTCACAAAGGGAAAGCTGGAATTGAGTGTTGTGGTAATTGCCCAAAACGTTTAGTAATAAGGGGCCTAAAAAGGGGTTTAAAATAAGCATTTTTTAGTTTCTAGACAATAACTTGTGTTCAAGTGTATGGATCTCTCTAAAATTGTATTACAAGGTACCATACCACAAAGGCAAGGCTGTTATTGAGCTTGGTTTGGGGGGTAAGGGGGGTGGGGGTGATGAATCATAAGGGGGGCGGGGGTCAAAAAAGGGGTAATTTTTTTTTTCCCTTTTTTTTTTGTTTAAAATTTACATTTTAAGTTAGTTATTTTTTATCACGAAGAGAAAGTAGGAATTGAGTTTTGGGGTTAATTGCTCAAACATTTATGAATAAGGGGCCAAATATTGGTCGAAAATAAGGATTTTTTTAGTTTGCAACAAAAACTTGTGTTCAAGTGTATGGATCTCTGTGAAATTGTATTGCAATGTACCATACCACAAATTGAAGGTTGTGATTGAGGTGGGGGATGATGAATCAAAAGGGGGTTGAAAAAATGTGTGGGGGGTAGGATTTTTTTTTTTCCTTTTTTTTTTCTTTAAAATTTTCCATTTAAAGATGGTTGTTTCAGATTTATATATGAAAGAAAATAATAATGATACCGTTATATATCATGAGGAATTGAAATTTAAAATTATGTATATTGGAAATTTAGGTTACATTGGAAAGTAATTGGCTTTGGAGGGGGGGGGGGGGGTGGTTATGGCTCTAATGTTTAAGGAATAAGGGGAAAAAAGGTTAAAAAACAAGAGTTTCCATTTTAATAGACAAATAATTGAGTAAAGAACATTATTTAAAAGCAGTGTAAGGTTGGTAATTCAAACTCATTTAAATATCTCATCTACACTGCTTTTAAATTATGTAAATTGGAAATTTGCCAATAACTTTATTGTTAATAAATGCATTGGAAATTTGCCAACAATTTTAGTGTAATAAACTTCATTGGAAATTTGCCAATATAAAATTTTGCTGATGAAGGTTTTTTGTTTACCTTTAGCCTTGACTATGAAGTCATTTTCTATTTTTATAGCCTTATGATGTAGTTGAATTATTTAATACTTTTATGATGTGTTTAAATGGGGTTTTATCATGTTTATGGTTGCAAATTTATTATTTTAGTATAATAAACTCCATTTAAAATTTGCCAATAAAAAAAATTTTTGTTTATTTTTAGCTATGATTATGATGTCATTTTCTATTTTACTTTTATGGTTGCAAAGAAATTTTTATTTTTAGATATTACTGTTAAATAATGCTGATTAAGGTTTTTGCTATGTTTAGCCATGACTATGATGTCATTTTCTATTTTAATATCTGTTATGATGTATTTAAATGGGCTTTTATGGTTACAAAGGAATTTTATTTTTAGATATTACTATAAAATGTTGCTGATGCTGATTAAGGATTTTGTTTATTTTTAGCCATGACTATGATGTCATTTTCTATTTTAATACCTTTATGATGTAATTTCCATTTTTAGATATTACTGTTAAATGATGCTGATTAAGGGTTTTTTGCTATGTTTAGCCATGACTATGATGTCATTTTCTATTTTAATATCTTTATGATGTATTTAAATGGGCTTTTATGGTTACAAAGGAATTTTATTTTTAGATATTACTTTAAATGTTGCTGATTAAGGATTTTTGTTTATTTTTAGCCATGACTATGATGTCACTTTCTATTTTAATACCTTTATGATGTATTTAAATGGGCTCCCATGTATTTAGATTTTTGATTATTTATACATGTTACCAAATTGGTCCACATTGAACAAAAACGGTCCAAATTTCAACTTTATTACATTACATCAAACATTGAATTCTACATATTCTTTGATATATTGAAATTAACAAACAATTTAGTTTATGGATATTCCACCATAATAGGTAAATTAAATTTTTTCCAGTTCTTACACCACATTCATCCTGTGTCAGAAACCTATGCTGTGTCAAATATTTAATGACAATCCAAAGTCATAGCTGTATCAAGCTTGAATTTTGTGTCCATACTTGCCCCAACTGTTCAGGGTTCGACCTCTGCGGTCGTATCAAGCTGCGCCCCAGCGAAGCATTTTATTGGATTTTGGGACCCGTTTTTAAATTGGTCCACATTAAGGTCCAAAGGGTCCAAAATTTAACTTTGTTTGATTTCATCAAAAATTGAATTATTGGGGTTCTTTGATATGCCGAATCTAACCGTGTATTCAGATTCTTAATTTTTGGTTCCGTTTTCAAATTGGTCTACATTAAGGTCCAAAGGGTCCAAAATTAAACTTTGTTTGATTTCAACAAAAATTGAATATATGGGGTTCTTTGATATGCTGAATCTAACCATGTATTTAGATTTTTGGGCCCCGTTATCAACTTTGTCCACATTGAGGTCAAAAGGGTCCAAAATTAAACTTTGTTTGATTTCATCAAAAATTGAATTCTTGGGGTTCTTTGATATGCTGAATCTAACCATGTATTTAGATTTTGGATATTGGACCATAATAGGTGAATGTCCAATTTAAAATTTTTAAGTTCTTAGACCACATTCATTCTGTGTCAGAAACCTATGCTGTGTCAAATATTTAATCACAATCCAAATTCAGAGCTGTATCAAGCTTGAATGTTGTGTCCATACTTGCCCCAACTGTTCAGGGTTCGACCTCTGCGGTCGTATCAAGCTGCGCCCTGCCGAGCATTTTATTTTTAATATTTCATGAAAAGAGCATTTACTTCTAATTATTATATTTTCTCACTTTAAACACTCGTGTCCAGCAAATTACCCGTACAGGGCCCCATTACTGCTTTGTATATACGAAACTAAAGAGGTTAAATAAACAGTGTTACATCACTGTGCAAGCTGTAAAATACTGCATATCAAAGGCAGTTCATTATACATCTATTGTTAAAATGATTATAAACTGTGTAGTATTGTTAAACAGTTTATTTTAATCAAAGCGTAACAATGTACATTGTACATACCGGTCATAGAAACATATCTATTTTTGGAACAATTTGTTTTATTTCCTATCCCAAGTAAAGGAAACGTCGGTACGCACATAAACTAAAACAAAATGTGTTTATAATCTTTATTGAAAGTATACAAAATAAAATAACATGTATGACACTAGACATATAACTTTTATTAGAATAAATCAACATTCAATATGTTGTAAGTGATTATAGACTTTCATCTTTCTTCAGGGATTTCCTTTACTCATCTGTTCTATCGATGTTTTTTGACTCCGTAATTTGGCATTTCGGATATAAGCATACTCCGCTTTATTGCATAATTTTGTCTGACAAATAGGCTATGCAAATAACCGGAATCGACTGTACATGTATCAATATTCAATTTCTAGCTATATACCAAGTTTATAAGAACACCATGGAGACCACTATGCTTAAACAATTCTGTGTCTGTAAATTTTGTACGGCAAGAAAAAAATATATATTTAGATCAGATTCTTTTTGCTTTTTATGCACCAGCCATAGGCAATGGGGGCATTAAGTGTTACCCTTGACTGTTTTTCCGTCCTTCCGTCCAGATTTTTGTTTCTGCAGTCTAACTTAAGTTTGCCTCATGCAAATTTAATCAAACTCATACACAATGCAGAGAATCAAAACTTGCAGACAGAGTCTGAATTTGGGCAGTGATTCACTTACTGTTCTATAGTTATGCCCCTTTATAACAAGGAAAATTGCGAATTTTTTCCATTCCACACTCAAACTTAAAGTTTTCCTCATCCAAATTTTATGAAACTCATACACAATGCTAAGAACCGCAACACTCAGATGGAGTTTGAATTTGAGTTGTGAGTCATTTACTGTTTTAGAGTTTTGCCCCTTTTAAACTTGGAAAATTGCAAAGCTTGAGCGAGGGCATTCGTGTCCTCAGACACATTCTTCTTTTATTTTTTATAAGATTCAGTAAAATAACAAGTGTTCTCCAAGTCAGAGTTCATCTTGTTTTTTTTTTTCTATAATAAACTGAAGGATATTCTAGGAAAAAATGTATGGAGGGGTTGGACGATACTTTTTTAGCTCACCTGGCCTAAAAGGCCAAGTGAGCTTTTCTCATCACTCATCGTAAAGTTTTACAAAAATCTTCTCTGAATCTACTGGGACAAATTTAACCAAACTTGGCCACAGTCATTATTAGGGTATCTAGTTTAATAATATTTCCAATGACCCCGGCCTGCCAACCAACATGGCCGACATGGCTAAAAATAGAATATAGGGGTAAAATGCAAGTTTTTTCTATTATCTTGAAAACTGCTATGAATAGAGAAAATCTGAAAGGGGCAAAAATGTTCAAAATGATGAGATCTACATACTGTTTATGACTTCAAAACTGTCTTGACGACTTCTTATATGAGTTATTGCCCTTCAATGACGGATTTTGCCGATTTTTTTCATGATTGCCTTATATCTGAAAAACTATAATAGATAGGAAGAAACTTTATATAAAAAGAATGACCAACAAGTCAAGATCTACAAATAAGTCCACATAGTCGAAATCATCAAACAACTCCTTATTTGAGTTATTGCCCTTTGATTTACTCTTTATAGGAGTGATTTTCTTAATTGATATTTTTTTACCGTTTTTTTGTGTTTTGGGCAAAAGCTAAAGAAAATAGAGAGAAACTGTAATCAGAAAAAATTATCAGCAATACAAGATCAACAGAAAAAAAAAAAGATTTTTGTCATGAATTCTATTCTAGTCCACAATGTTGGAGAGAGTCCATTGTTAAAGATGCTAATAGACCTAAGTGAGCAACACAGGCTCTTTAACGTGAATCATGAATGAGATGTAATACATGTGTACATATAAATATTTTCATATGTACCATTACTTTTTAGGTAGTGCCACAGAAGGACCCAGTTGCCAATTTAAACAGTCCACTGAATGGAAATGTTCTGAAATTTAATATTAATCCTGAAAACCCGATCTCACCTAAAGAATGGTTAGTTATAGCTGACTACCAAACCAAAGATAAAACTTTTATGTCCTTGTGTATGCTGAATGGTGACCTGTCTGTTTTATCTATACATTGTCGAACAAAGGCACACAGTCCTCCAGACAGTGGATCAGAAGCACCAGACTCACCCACCACTAATTCTATGACCTTGGAAAGAGCAGTGTCCTTGACACCATTAGCATCAATGACAGTACCTCGATGTGGATTTGGTATGACGGTTGTGAATAAAAAGCTATTTGCCTGTGGTAAGTGTAATTTATTCTAATATTCAATTGTTTTGAACATGTCAGTGGCAACAATTTTATAGTTCACCTGGCTAAAAGATATATCTCCACGACAACAGTTCCAACCTCACTTAACAAAAGAAATACCTCTCTAAAAGCCAACTTTTAAACTGCACCTGACAGTCTAATAAGGCCACAACTGTGAAACAGTTTGTACACAGACCTATATTTGATACTTTTTACTTAAAATTAAGATGGTTATATATATTCTGTAAGGAAATCTAGTATATTGTTTTATTGTTACTTTCAGTTTCATATCAAACAGAAATGTGATACCTTATTTTGGTTTCTATGCAATTAACAAAAATACAATACTTTTTTTTTTTTTTCAAGCAAGGAAAATGGGGATTAAGATTTATGATATTTTATGACTTCAATCAGTTGTTCTGTTTACACTGAAAAAAAAACTTTTCAAAAACCATTTGGCCATTATTTTTCAAATGATATTTGGTATGCAGTTGTATTTGCATTTACACCTCTCATTTCCATATGGCCTCAGTAGCTGAGTAGTCTTAAGAAGTTTAAGTATCACTAGCCTGTCAACACTGAAGTTCCAAGTTTGGACCCCTCATGTGGCAGGTGAATTCAACTCAAATCGTAATTAAATGGGATTGTCAGTTTTCCTGCTGAAGGTTGTGGTTCTCTGTTGACACTTTAGCTTCCTTCAACAATATAAAGTGGTTGCCAAAATATAGTCAAGAGTACTGAAAGTGGCGTTGATGAATCAATGAGATTTGGTATGCAGTTGCATTAAGATCACCAAACTTTTAATATGCACACATATTCTTTTTATGCCCCTGTCTTCACTGGAGGTGTTACCCTTGTCTGTCCTTACGTACATTGTATGTACGTCCCTAAATTGGTTTCTGTTCTTTAACATTAGTTTACCTCAACCAAATGTTATGAAACTTATACACAATGCTTATTACCACAAAACACAGATCAAGTTTGAGTTTAGGTGGCGTCACTTTTACTGTTCTCGAGTTATGCCCCTTTATAACATTATATGCAAGCAGGGGCATCATCTGTGTCCCATGCACACATTCTCCATTTAGCTTTTACAAAATATTGTTAATTAGATCTCATTCAACAGGTGGCTATGATAGAGGAGAATGTATGAAATCAACTGAGTTCTATGATTCCCAGAAAAACAAATGGATTCCTGCTGCAGATATGTCTGTCCCTAGAGGGCGCTTCTCTACAGAAAATGTTCAAGATGTAATATATGCTGTTGGTGGTTCAAATGGTCAAATAGAACAGAAGACAGTAGAATGTTATAATTATGAGAATGATAAATGGTCAACAGTATCTCAAGTGGCAAAGGCCAAAGTTTCTCAAGGTAAAAACTATGTCATTATACATGTAGTTAGATAATAGACAAATTAGGGTGAAATCTGGGCATGATAATATAGTATAGAGTCAAGTGTATTAAAAACAGCCAAGTTAGCTTGTTCTTCTTACATGACCCTGTGTTGCAAGATCAGTGCTTTAATTATTAAATGACATTTTTCAATGTAATATAGACAGTGCTTTAAATAATATATTTTACAGTGTTTGAAAATGACAGTCTTTAAGTTTCTAGCAAAATTACTTTATTTTAAATGCTTAAAAACCATGCATAACTTGTTAATGTTTGTTAACTTTTCATCTATTGATCATGTTATAAATGTATAGCATATTTCTTTCTTATATGACTACACCAATGACATTGAATACAAACAAAAAAGATGGAGGCATGAATAAAACACTATGCTTTAATTTTCTCTTTGTACTCATAGGTAACATGCGTAAGGTTAAATCATAGTACTTTATTTACGAGCAGTCAACAATCAAAAACAAAAACAAAACCAGAATCAGAATCTTCTCAATATTTCTTTCAACTGATATCATTCAGATAGGTAGGCTACAAGGGTACTGTAAACACATTGATATTACATTCAGATTGAAGAAAAACACTCTAAAAGACCATTTTTCATCAGACATTTACGACAAAATTAATGTCGACAAAAACCTCCAGATCTGAGGTCTAAATTCCTGAGTTTCACAGTCCATCACATGTATGGGGTACTGTCAAATGGTCAGCTGGGTGGGCACTTATCACTGATGAAGATGGTTTGAATATGACAGTGGGTACTGTCAAATGGTCAGCTGGGTGGGCACTGGTCACTGATGAATGGTGTGAATATGAAAATGGGTACTGTTAGATGATTATTGAATCATTTACAACAATAACCAACTGACAAAACCTCACCATCACAACTAAAATTATGAAATCTGTAATATGACCTGGACATCACTATACGTGAAATGAATAAAACAAAAAAGAAGAAATGATTAAATGTTAATAAGATAAATTATAACACATACAAATTAATAAAGGATTGATAAATAAATCCTGCGGATAATAGCTTACTTGTTAAGATATCAGAAGTTTAGTTGCTGTTCTGAAGTTCTTTACTGTACTACAAATCTTACCCATGTTTATATACATGATGAATAATAAAGGTGTTAATTAAAGGTGTGATTTTTTTTGTTATTTTATATGTCAATTTCAAGCAACTGACAAGGAGTGATTAAAGAAATTGAGACAAATATCAGCTTGTTTACCTTCTTGTAAATTTGCAACAGTTTTCAGATATGAGGGTCTTTTTTGCTCTCATTAGTTATCTCATATTCAGTAATATACTAGCTAGTTAAATCTGTTGGTAGAAAGGAAAACAAAATGAATAAGAGAAAGACTTGAAAAACGTTTAAAGATCATTATCTATGGATGCTGTCATCCAAATAAAACTTTGGTAGACAGCTGGTGTACCTAATAGACGTATTTACACTTGTATGCAAATTTGTCAGTCATTACATAAAATCACACAGGTTCCCGTAAACTTTGACATCATAATTCAAAACGACGTCACAATTAAAAAGTGATTGTTGCCTGAAGTCAAAAGGTGATTAGGAGTAGATCTAAGGTCATTTTGAGGCAAAATATAGCTAAATACCAGAAGTGTAAATACGTTTATAAAAAACATACAGTAATATGAAAATAAGTAATCTATTCAATAAGGAAATAGTCTTCTTTTCTGGTCCTTTATTAGTCTCTTATCTATTAATCTTATAGTTTTTAGCTCACCTGGCATCGCTTGTCATCCGTTATCTTTTACAAAATTCTCCTCTGAAACTACTGTGCCAAATTTAACCAAACTTAGCCACAATCATCATTGGGGTATCCAGTTAAAAAAAAATGTGTCTGATGACCCCACCTGCCAACCACCATGGCTAAAAAAAGAATATTGGGGTAAAATGCAAGTTTTCTCTATCTATAAATAAAGAAATTCTTAAGGGGCAGAAATGTTCAGAATGTTGAGATCTACATACTAAAATTGAGAATGGAAACGAGGAATGTGTCAAAGAGACAACAACCCAACAAAGAGCAGAAAACAGCCCAAAGCCACCAATGGGCATTCAACACAGCAAGAAAATTCTGCACCCATAGGCGGGCTTCAGCTGGCCCCTAAACAATAATGTATACTAGTTCAGCAAAATTGGACGTCACACTTAACTCCAAAACATATAAATGAACCAAAATTAAAAATCATACAAAACTAACAAAGGCCAGAGGTTCCTGACTTGGGAAAATTGAGGCTGGGTTAAACATTTTTTATGAGATCTCAACCCTCCCCCTATACCTCTAGTCAATGTGAAATAAACAAACACACAGCAATACTGTCCATTTACATCGAAACTGTCAGACAACTTCTTATAGGAGTTATTGCCCTTTAATGACAATTTTTACTTTTTTTTTTTTTTCATTTTTGCCTTTCTTGAAAAATTATAATAGATAGAGAGAAGCTTTAAATAGCAAAAATGATCAGTAAGACAAGATCTACAATTAAGACTTCATGACCGAAATGGTTAGACGCCTCCATGTTCCAAGTTATTGCCCTTCAATGACGTTTTTTTTAACCAATTTTTTGCGTTTTTGCCCACTGTGTTGAAAACTTTTAATAGATAGACACTTTAAATAGCAAAAATATTCAAATCTTAAATTTACAAAGTTTTTCAGAGATAATGGTACACCATTTCTACTACTGGTTAGTTTTTGTCTCACCTTGACAGAGTCAAAAAGCGAGACATATGTATGCTGTTTCCGGCGGCTGCGGCGTCAACAATGTATTAGTTTGTGATTGATCTAGTTTAAGGTGAACCACTAGTGGTTGGTCAATGATATTTGGTATTCAGTTGTATTAGCACTGGCACATCTCATTTCCATGGAGATTATTTGACCCTGCCCCCTCAAGTCAAGGTCTATTGACTTTGAAACTTTTCATAGTTTACATGTATTGGTTTGTGATTAAGTCAATTAATGGGGAACCACTAGTGGTAGGTCAATAATATTTGGTATGCAGTTGTATAAGCATTGGCATATCTCATTTCCATGCGAAATATTTGGCCTGCCCCTGCAGTCATGGTCTATTGACTTTGAAACTTTTGCTTAGTTTACATGTATTAGTTTGTGATTAGGTCAGTTCAAGGGGAACCATTAGTGGTAGGCCAATGTTAATTGATATGCAATTGTATAAGCATTAGCACATCTCATTTCCATGGAGAATATTTGGTCCCGCCCCCTCAGTCATGGTCTCTTGATTTTGAAACTTTTGCTTAGTTTACATGTATTAGTTTGTGATTAGATCAGTTTAAGATGAACCGCTAATGTTAAGTCAATGATATTTGGTATGCAAATTTATTAGCATTTGCAAGTCTCGTTTCAATGGAGATTATTTAGCCCCACCCCTCATCATGGTTCATTGACTTTGAAACTTTTACATAGTTTACAAGTCAATGTGTGTGTTTAGGTTTGTTGAAAGGGAATGACTAATGATAAGTCTATGGTATTTGGTATGCAGTTGTATTAGCATTGGCACATCTCATTTCCATGGAGATTGTTTTGCCATGTACCTTCAGTCATGGTTCATTGACTTTGAATATTTGCATAACTTACATGTTAAAGTATTGCTATTTTAATTTCATCATTTGCATTATCAAAAGTACAAAAAGACGAGACATATCTCTGTGTTAACAGTTTATTGAATATTCCTCACTGCTCATACATGTTTTACCTTGATCAGCCATTCAATGTGTAATGCTTTCTACCATCATAGTTATTCAGGAGATGAATTGTATACAAGAGTAATATCAATTTATATCTGTGGTCACTTTCAGCATTGGTATGTGTAGATAACAAGTTATATTGTATTGGTGGTTGTGTGGGACCCAAAAGTGTCCCTGACTGTGAAGTCTTTGATCCAGAGACAAAGAGTTGGTCCAAAATAGCACCATTAAATACAGGTAAATATTATCTATAAAGTTGTATGATCTACATAGTATATGTTGGAAGTCACTCAGATGATGAACCTTTGAGTCTTATTCCAATTTTTGGTAAAGATTAACTTTTTATAACCCCCCACCATATTGCAATCAGCTTGTCCATTTGTCCAACAAATATATGCATAAAACTTTTCTTGGGTCCTGCTGAACAGAATGAGTACATGGTAAGCAGCTTGAGATTGATGAGTTATAACAAGCATTTTATCAATCTGTCGGACAACTACTTCATGGTTAACGATACTTTGAATTTTTCAATATGTTGAGTGAACTTTTAAAAAAGTTGTCACACATGTCTCTAGTACTACATACCATAATGACTTCATATATTGTCAGCAGATTGGCAGTGTTTTGTTTTAAGACTTTTCAGATCTGTCATACACCTACTTCCTAGTTTCGGTTTTAAGACTTTTCAGATCTGTCATACACATACTTCCTAGTTTCGGATACCTTTAATAATGAGTAAGGTAGGCTCATTAGAACAAGGCATGCATTCTTGTAACTTGTATTATTCTTCTTTTCTATCCTATCACAGTTTTTTCACAGCAGATTTCAGAAATTGTAAGTAGTATTTGGTTATGGTGGGTCTATATGTATAATTGTGCAAGAAAATTCAGGTGATGACCTCATTGCAACCGAAATATGGGAAAATAAAAAATGTAGGATCGTGTTACCCCTTAATAAAATAGTAATAAGATGAAGCTTTAGAATTATTTATACCCAAAGATCATCACGGTAATGCAATGGTAATAAGATCAAAATTTAAGATTATACACAGATATAATAAATTATTTTGTATGCCTGTACCTAATTGCAAAGATACCTGATTACCTTAACTGTGGCCTTAACATTTTTTTTAAATTTAAGGATATGAAGAATTTGCATTGTATTTGTAGGAAGGTACCAGATTGCAGCTTGCTATCACAAAGGTTTCATATATGCCATTGGAGGTACCGATGGTTGGAATGTTTTAGGAATTACTGAGGTGTATGATATTAAAACAGATAAATGGGTATTGGGACCAAGTTTGAATGTGGTTCGTAGAGGTGCTGGTTGTGATATATTCAATGGTAAATATAGCTTTTATCAGATAAGTTGTGATGTGTTCAATGGTAAATATAGCTTTTATCAGATGATGTGATGTGTTCAATAGTAAAGATAGCTTTTATCAGATGATAAGTTATGATGTGTTCAATGGTGAATATAGCTTTTATCAGACCATAGTTGGTATCTTGTACCAATAGATTGTGGAATTTTGCTTTGAAATAAAATTAAAAGAATATCTTATAGCTTAGTGATAAATTTGTAAAGAGTAAAATTATTAACCTTGATAAAACAATTCAGTGATGAGCAATTTATTTGCTTTGAGACATTTGTTACAATTGTGAAAAAAGGACAGGGTTTCTCTTCAGAAAGAAACTGATTGTAAGTTATACTAATATGTTCGTAACTTACAAGTATATTTTCTCTTAAGATTTTTTCTGAAAAGAGTCCCAGTTTCCTTGTAACTCAAGTTTAAAAGCTACGTTATTTTGACATATTAGACCTTGACACAAAATTCAATCATAATAATCAGTTAAACAGGCAAGACATTATAGTAAGTGTACTCTTGTTCATACTTCTGATTTATTTTTAGGTAAAATACATGTTGTTGGCGGAAGTGATGGATCTAATAGTCTGAAATCTGTAGAAATTCTGGACAACAACAACTTTATACTTGGAAGTTCAATGAGTATAGGTAGAGCCAATGTGGGTGTGGTCAATCTTTCCAATCGACTTTATGCTGTTGGTGGATTTAGTGGCAAAAAGTTCCTTGATACATTTGAATACCTTGACCCAAAATCAGAAGAATGGTGCAGTTATGTTCCAGTGGAAGAGGTTCAGAAATCACAGAAAAATGGAAATGCTTCAACTTAAATAGTTATTTATTTTGGTAATTTTTTGGGGATCTCTGGTCCAGATGATTTCACCTGTATTATCAACCTTAATAACACATCCTTATAATGCCGGTGAAATATTAAGGAATCCCTTTATGTTCATCATTTCCTCCATTCCTGCCAGTTGTCTCCCATTTATTTATCTTACAAGAGTTATCTGTCCTTTGGGAGTATATCTTGTATATTCTGATTGCTATCATGTCAAATTGGTCCATTGTTTTTTGCTATCAAAAAAATTCTGTAAGTGGAAATTATTGCAACGAAATTTTATAAGATAATGAAAGTTTCAAAAAATTTAAGACTGGAGAAGTATTTTAGAAAAGGAAAACAAATTGGTATGCAGTTGTTTCAAAAATTTATTCTATCAATAAAGATAAATGTTGCTAAACAAATACCAAAATAGGGGATGCAAAGTTACTAAAGGTAATTGATGGCCTCTTTAAAAGGGAGCATATTTTTTCTCCCCTAGACAGTTCTATAAAATATTCATGTTTTTTTTTATTATTGAGGATTTCTCATGAATCAGTCTTATCAAGTTACATTCCGAAATATATCATGACCATGACTGAAACTAGTTTTTATATTAATTGCATTCTTTTTTCAGAAATCACGAATCATGCATAAGTATCAATTTATATTCAAAAAGAAGATCAGGGAAATCAATGAATTCTTATTTTAATCATCCTTAAAATTCTACAGTAGCCTCAAATGTACTTTTTTTTTTAAATCAAATTAAGTGACTACCACTTTGTGAAGCTGCATTTTGAAACATTGACAGTAGATTCCTTATTTTAACATGTGGTTAAAATCTGAAGAAAAAGATATAAACTTATTGTAGATTTCCATTAATACTTTTATTAACTCAACATTTCAAATTATGTAATTTGTACAATTTGATTTGATGCTATCAAAAGTTTGAAGAACAAGGACAGCATGTGTGAAAAACAATTAGTTATTGTTGTTTTAGTGGTATCTGAATTGGTTTAATTTAGTTGATGCAAAAAATGACAAATTAATATCTAAGCTTTCAATTGAATAAATTATTAAATGTGATTATTATTAAAATTCATGTTACTATATATACTTGGACATTCTTTTACCTTCACTTGTATATATTGTAGTGTTTCATTTACGTGAAGTTCAAACTCTAGATTGGTCTAGATTTAGGGTGTGGACAATACATTGCAGTAGAAAGATCCTTTTGAGTCCAGTTCCCCTTAAGTAAAAGAAATTTCTCGCTTCTTGTTACAAATTATTTACAGATCCTCAGTTTATTTTAGACGGATTTTTTTACAAACCTTGATAGTTTAAATGACACTTTGTCTTAATAGTTTTCAGTTTGTTCAGAAAGTTAGCAGTTTTCATTCCAGAATCAAAAGGCAGCTTAAATGTGATGTGAGGTGATTTAACAGCTTGTATCAACACATCTGATTAACTGTGAAAATTTACCTGGAAAATCAATAGCAAAGTGTTCGTGAAGATTTACCTGTCTTGGCACTTATTTCCTGTTGATGTGAAAGTTAATTTTTTTTATAATATTGTATGTATTTATTCTGCATGAAGTGGATCTTTGTCTCTCTTCCTTTTATGTGAAAGTATTTCTATGTTTTTGTTTTCTTTTTTCTTTTTTTAATAAAAACTCCATAATTCAATGACAATTTTTTTCTGTAAGTTTAATTGTTCAAGATATCTTTTTTTCTGTAATTAGTAATAAACAGATTTTCAATATATTTTAATTATTTATTTGATACTAAATAACAGTGTCAAAAATCTATATTATTCTTATATTTGAAATATAACATCTAATTGACAGAGTTCCATGAGGTATATAATTTTTGTATATGTGGTATATAATTGTCAATACTTGAAAGGTGGCCAGATACTGGTCTGTGGTTCCCATTTCTTAACCTTTCTAAATCACTTCATGTTCTTATCCCTACAGTTATCTCCCCTTATGACTACATCTACACACCAGTGTCACTTCCTCATTTTATCTGCAGGGTACACAATACAAGTATTATATTTGATAAATCATGATATTTCTATTACATAGTGCTGTTTTAAAACAAAGAAAAAAATTTTTGATTATTTAATTTCTTTGCACTGTTTTTGATATTTCTACAATCAACAATTTGCTCAAATATTTGTCATTTCAATTTTTTTCTACATTTATTTTGTTAGGCAACATGGCGTTGTATGAAAAGATATTTTGAATTTGGAAGTTTAAGTTTCTTTTGTTTTTCTGAAGTACTAAATAGATTGTTTTGGTATAACTGCAAGACACTTGTTTTCTAAATTGCAGTATCGTCAGCAGTTGCAAATTAGTATGTTTTCATGCAAAAATGTTACTACTTAGGGTTGTTTAACGCTTTTGACTACCATTGAGGGTATTCAAGGTCGTTCAACACACCCGTAATACTGTATTTAAACATATTAACCTCATCATTTCTTGAAATTTTTTATGAGTTTTGCAGAAAACAATATATTTTTCCACATATTATTTCTGTTGATGTTATATATATATATATATACAAAACTATCTAAAGCATTCTTATAAAATATGTTTATAGATGTAAAATAATGTCAGTAATAAGTAAATTATATATTAATCGCATGTGTCACAATTTTTTATTGAAAGATATTTTGTACCAGACCAGTTAAAGGCATTTTTATTGTGTTAGAGTAGTATAAGATGCCAAGGAAGTATGTTATTTTCTTTATTTGCCACTATATTGAGGTGTATCTGTATCAATAAATCGGAATATTCGTATGGAAGGAGGTTAAGTTATAAAGATTTATGTACAGAAGACCATGATAACTCACGGAATAACTTCTGGGAAGGTTGTACCCTATAAGCAATTTTTGTTTTCATTTTGCTTTAGAAATTTTAGAACAATGCATGAGGTAAAGATTAGTGTTTAGTCAGTTGACAAAATCACTGTTGGGAGGATTGTAGATGATTAACAATTTTGGGTATTCTTTTGTGCTTTAAAATTTAAGAATACACGTGTAGTATTAAAATATCAAAATTATAAAGTGTTTTGTAATTGTATCTAAGACTTTGTCAGAGTTAATAAAATTGTGAACAATTTAATCTGGCCCATATCAAAATGTGAACTACACAACAGAAAGATGTTTTGAAAGCAGTTGAGTGTTGAATAGACTAATCTAAAGAATAATTGTCTTTTTGATGATAAATTTAAAAGATAAAGTACATGGTACTAGTGATAAAGGATGTAATTATGTTAGAAGATTATTTGAATAACTGTTAGTCATTTTTGATTGGTTTAACCATTTGTAGAACTATGACTTAATTGTATATAAATCTGTTGGAAATTTTGTTAAATAATTTGAAAATATTTATTTGTACTAATTGATGATTTCATAATTTTTCCAATGAATTTATAGATGAAATACCCTAATGCATTGTGGGTCCCCTATCAATAAAGCTAGGAAGATAACACACTATAGTCTTTTTCTGTCCATATTTTACATTTTTTCTACTGGATAGAGATGGTGAATTGATCCAGTTTTTGATCTCGTGTTTTGTTATATATAAGAAGATATAGATAAATTGTGAGTGTGATCTGATAATATTTTGTCATGCCCAATGATTAAGAATGATGTTTGGAGATTTTAACAGCTTTCCACTTTTTCATAATCAAAGGTTATTTTTTGTTTTGATCTGTTGATTATTTTCAGAATTATATCTCTCGGACTTTAAAGATATATAAAAATTAACAAATGTCTTCAGATATTGCTTTAATTGGTAGGGGACATATATTGCTCAGATTGCTTGTTTATTAGGACTTGTACATACAAAACATTAATTCAGAAAGGTTAATCTAATTGAAACAGAATGAAATAAATGTTAATATTTAATTTGTCATTATATTAGATACGTGATTTCATCATACAAAGAAACAATCTATTGTATTGTTTATTTGTTCAAAATTTAAATAACTGTATTCATTTTGTACATTGTTCAGTTTCCATACTTTGCAAAAAAAGACATTATAAGGCCATTCAGAAAAAAAATGTTCCGTTTTTCAGGCCCATGTATGAAATTTTGTATTTGTATCATTTGAAAAAAATACATTGGAAAGAGAATTAGAATATGTATTTTGAATGGTTTACGTTCTTTAACAAAATACTGACCATAATTATTCCAGACAGTCCAGGGTATATGTTTCCTATATTTGTTACAATAAATAAAAGTTTACTGAATACACGTTTTTGTGTTTTGAATTATTTACAGAAATTTGGGGTTTACAGTAAAGGTTAATGCTTATGTTTTATTAACCAGATTTTGAAAGTAAAAATCGGTTACTGATTTGGGGATGTACTGCGGGCGGCTTCCAAACAGTGTCCGTTCATTAACATGCAAACTCTTTGACGAAATTTTTTCAAATTTAGATATGTTGTTTCTTGTGACTAAATGAAGGTCAAGACCAATTTTCACGATTTAAGCTTTTCTCGTTGTTGAGTTGTCGACCTTTTAGTAGCCAAAAGTTATACGCATTATATGATTGAGTTATTTCCCTTTGAACAGAAATTGTGATTTGCAAATATCATTTTGATTAGATAATAATCTGTTTTTATTAAAGGATATATTTCATTACACTGCATTGTGTAAATAAAGTTGTTGACATTGATAGATAAGTTGCAGATCTATATTAGTTTGTGACAAATGAAAGAAAAAATATTGGGAACTATTAATTATATATATAAAGTTTGATTACACTAAGTGTTTTTAAATAATTTTCACCTGTTATCAGATAACAAAGCATCTGGTAAATATCTTATCACACAATTATAATTGGAGTGACAGATTTATTTGAAATTTTTTTGTTTAAGTTTTGATGATGATGAGATCTGTAGGACTCTATAAATAAAGTTTGAATTTAACTGTTCATTATTAGACATTTTGAAGATAATTACAGATAAGTTTTATAGATTTTTAAAAGATATTGTATTAATGATAAATGACATTTTGGATTTTTTTTTCTTGTTTTCTTTGGTAAATTGTTTGAAGAATTTTGTGGTAGGTTTGTTTTGTTATTCTGTATAAACTTATTTTCTGAATGCTATATATTTTTTTTTATGAAGTGAACTCCTTTAAAAACTAAGCTTAGTTTGTCTATTAATAAACATATATTTAGATTTCTGATTTTGGGCCCAGTTTTCAAGTTGGTCCAAATCGGGGTCCAAAATTATACTGTGTTTGATTTCAACATAAATTTAATATATATAGGGTTCTTTTAAATGCTGAATCTAAACCTGTATTTATTTTCATTATTGATAAGATAATACCACATTGAGGTCCAAAGGGTCCTAAATTAAACTTTTGTTTGATTTCATCAAAAATTTAATTCTTGGGGTTCTTTGATATGCTGATTCTAACAATGTACTTAGATTTTGGATATTGGACCATAATAGGTAAATGTCCGATTTCAAATTTTTCAGTTCTTTGACCACATTCATTTTGTGTCACAAACCTATGCTGTGTCAAATATTCAATCACAATCCAAATACAGGGCTGTTTTAAGCTTAAATAATGTGTCCATACTTGCTCAACTGTTCAGGGTTCGACCTCTGCAGGAAAATCCGGTTTGCTGTCACTCTGACAGCCTCTTGTGTTAATGAATATTTTGTGGAGTGTTACTGTATAGTAACTGACTGATTGATAGCACATGGTCATGTGACTATCACCTCAGTGGTGTGTTGGTAATGTGATCAACCTGAGTGCTGGAGGTCCTATATATATGTTTGATCTTCCGGCAGGTCAAACTAAAGATTGGAAAATTGGTACCTTTTTTGCTAAGCATGCTGCGTTTAAAGTACAAAGACTGGTCAGCTTGGATTCCAATGTGTCTTCCTTTAGACTAACTTTGGAATCGAGCTATGTTTGTTGGCTTGTTCAAAGCAGGTTCATTTTTAAATTACATTAAAAAAGTATAACAAAAATACCCAATTCGGATCCATCAGCTAAAACTAACACAAGACATACAACCCAACTGACTTAAAAATTCAAACAAACATAGAAATTAATCTATCAAAGACGTCGACAGAAATGGTGTGGTAGATATAGATTCTTACATTGGTACCAGTGGATTATCAGATTCAATCCAGATAGTTAAATTATTGAATTTTAAAGTCCTAGGCTCGAGATTGGATAAATCAGATAATCTACGAGTAACTATGTAAGAATCAATTCAATCTGTTTTATTTAATGATTATCAAATAAATTTTCATTTTCGATAAACAAAACTCCCCTTTGAATGCCTTCCACATTCCACAAAGCTGTCAATTCCTCTAACACCTGTTAGCACATTTCAATTCATCCAGTGAGCTGATAAAGGTTATGACCCTTAAACTCAGCCAATCATCTTCTTAGATCATTGACAACCACTTATTGATTAATAAATTTTTTTATACAATGGGTTCCGGAAAGGGTTAAAATGCCAAAGAATTAGAGAAAAAGTAATAAATTCATCATGTTCTTCTCTTAAATATACTTGTAATAATGTCACTGAATGTTAAACAGCCTTTCATCAATCCATTGATATTATTGTAAAGACCTTGGAATTCTCTCTATCATTTCTTTACAATGGAGTCAGATTTTTAGAAAAAAGGCTTTGAAACCAAGAGCTGTGCAAATGATTCCATAGGCCTTTTAAGTGACTGGTGCTTCTAATGAAATTGGGAAAGTTATTCTTAAAGACACCTGAATGTGAGGAAGAAATGCATTACACATCAACTAGCTTTAGAATTTGTTGTATGCTGCTGTTTACAAATGAGACAACATGTGATATGGATCTTCACAAATATGATAGAAAATTTCTGAGTTGCAAGTGAAGATTTAACTGTAATAAGAATTTGTTTTGTAAATCATCCTCTCTGTGAATTATCTATAAAGTCAAATACTTATATTCATACTTGAAGGTTTGTATAATCCAAGATATTAATTAATATGTGACAAATCTGTATCCCTTTGAGATTAAAATACTGTAAATTCAGAAATTATTGCGTGCATTTATTATTGCGATTTTGTCATTTTAGACTAAAATGCGATTTTAATTTTTGCGATATTGAGAAAAATCCTGTTTAATTCATATAAAAAATTTCAAAATGCGAGTTTAAATTATTGCGATTATAACCCTGTCGCATTTTTCCCAATAATTTCTGAATTTACAGTAATATAAAGACAAAAAGTGCAAATAATACAAATGAAACATATATATTGTAAATAGCCTAACCCCTGTTGTTTACCTGAGAAAAGGAAATGGTGCTTCTTTTAAAGGTATGTGGTCAGTTGTCTTCTGGTTTTATATTGTATGTGTGGGTAGTGGTGGTTGGAAAGGTTGCTCAAATTCTTTTCTCAGGCTTTTGTCTTGCCCACCAGGATGTAGCCATGTACAGAAAGAAACATTTATGCTTGGAAATAACCATGTATCAAAAGGAACATTGCTGTTATTTCTGTTCTTGATCACACATATCAGAAAGTCTTGTGAAGAGCTAATTAACCCCAACTGACATCAAAATCAAGAATGGGACTTCTTGCTGCCTTCAGAGCTATTTATGAAAGAAACTTAATATTCTTGGAAGTAAATATGCAGGAGATGTCAAAATCTAGTGATACTCTTCTACAACCTGTTTACTGCTGTTTCCTCCAGTGATACTTCATGTTTTTAGTCCCCTACCGACAAAGTAATAGGGGACTTAAGGTTTGCACTCCGTCTGTCTGTCTGTCCATCGGTCAGTCCGGCAAATCAGTTTTCCACACATTTTATGCCTTAAGATATTGATTTGATATTTGGTATATCGTTTTATCATGACAAGTTACAGATCAAGTTCGAATTTTTTTCTGGTCTGATGATTTTGTGCAGAGTTATGGTCCTTGGACTTAGAAAATTCACTCAAATAATCAGTTTTTTTCGTCATGCTTGAAGATATTGACTTGATATTTGTTATATAGTTTACACCATGACAAGTTATAGATCAAGTTAGCATTTTGTTCCAATACAATGAATTTTTAACAGGTAGGGGACTATGTATTGCCGTGCAATACTCTCAGAATACTTGTTGTTTTAGTGATATGATTACATTGTTCCATCTTTACTTACGTGTGGGGTTAAATACTAGAAGTCTATTTGTGTGAGTATTTGTGGTTGAATACTAGTAGTCTATTTGTGTAGGTATTTGTGGATTAATACTAGTAGTCTATTTGTGGTTAAATACTTGTAGTCTACTTGTGTAGGTATTTATGGTTAAATACTAGAAGTCTATTTGTGTAGGTATTTATGGTAAAATACTAGTTGCCTACTTGTGTAGGTATTTATGGTTAAATACTAATAGTCTACTTGTGTAGGTATATGTGGTTTTATACTAGTAGTCTACTTGTGTGGGTATTTATGGTTAAATCCTAGTAGTCTATTTGTGTAGGTACTTATGGTTAAATACTAGTAGTCTATTTGTGTAGGTACTTATGGTTAAATACTAGTAGTCTACTTGTGTAGGTAATTATGGTTAAATACTAGAAGTCTATTTGTGTGGGTATTTGTGGTTAAATACTAGGAATCTATTAGTGTAGGTATTTATGGTTAAATACTAGTAGTCTGTTTGTGTGTGTACTTGTGGTTAATGCTAATAGTATATTTGTATGTGTATTTGTGGTTAAATGCTAGTAGTCTATTTGTGTGGGTAATTGTAGTTAAATGCTAGTAGTCTATTTGTGTGAGTATTTGTGGTAAAATACTAGTAGTCTATTTGTGTAGGTATATGTGGTCAAATACTTGTAGTATACTTGTGTGGGTATTTGTGGTTAAACACTAGGAATCTATTAGTGTAGTATTTATGGTTAAATACTAGTAGTCTGTTTGTGTGTGTGTACTTGTGGTTAATGCTAATAGTATATTTGTATGTGTATTTGTGGTTAAATGCTAGTAGTCTATTTGTGTTAGTATTTGTGGTTAAATACTAGAAGTCTATTTGTGTGAGTATCTGTAGTTAAATACTAGAAGTCTATTTGTGTGAGTATCTGTAGTTAAATACTAGTAGTCTATTTGTGTGGGTATTTGTGGTTAAATACTAAAAGTCTATTTGTTTAGGTATTTATGGTTAAATACTAGGAATCTATTAGTGTAGGTATTTATGGTTAAATACTAGTAGTCTGTTTGTGTGTGTACTTGTGGTTAATGCTAATTATATATTTGTATGTGTATTTG